TATCGGTCTACCCGTCACAAATGAAATGGTAATCAGTGCAATATAAATCTTCGGTATCATCACTGCAAAGCTGCAGAACAGCTTGAAGCTATCCTCATGGCTCAAAGCCATATATGTGGTCTGCTTAAAATTTATCAACATACCACTGACATGGAAATGGGTATCACTCGCCTTCATTCTCAAAGCAGGTAAAGGCACTCTTAGTTACGATAAGAACTTCAGGCTTTTCTTTGGGCTAAAACCATTAGAGAGGATCATAACTCTATGTCTCTCGAACCATCGATAGGATGTTACTCTCGAAATAATCATCACGCATAGTTACCTTTATTGAAAAAACCCCTCTATAACAATTGATTCAGCCTTTTTGCATTCCTGGTTATAGATGAGGCTTTCAATAAGATCCTACTCCATTAGTGGATTTCATCATTCTACTGCTACTAAGGGTTTACAGGGTTACAAGCGCAAACCTGGCAGGATACTTAGTATCTAGATATGAAAACAGAGTCATGATGAGTTCTCCCCAAATTACTCTGGATTCTCACAGTAAACTTGCTATTAACGCATACGAAATGAAGTGTCGGCAAAGCTATTTCCCACCCCAATGATATCGCCGTTGTATACCGATGCAAGCTTCCACAAACCCTCTGTGACTTGATGCAGAGAACACCAGGAAAGGTATCGTCTTGGCCTGTCTAATGTGGCCGCTGTGTCAAGTCAAACAAAGTAGAAATAGTGCTAACTACAAGCAGAAACAAGATCCCCGCTTTCAACTTACCAGCACTGCATGGAGCTCAATTTAGCCTGGGGTCAAAAGCTGAAGCTCTTAATGTAATACTAAATATCCTGCCACTGGACTTGGTGAAATATCAGTCGGCTTCAATGTATGCATTTCGTCTAAGAGATGGACTACGCAGCCATGGGGCTACTCGGCAATATTGGTTAAATGCGACTTTATATCGATGTGGTCCAGTAGAATCTACTAATTTCAGGCCTAGTCTGGAACTATACAGGAACGGGTCAAAGCTTGAAGGGAGAGTTGGCAGAGGTGTCTTCTCAGAAAATACACTGGCACTGGACTCGCTTATGCTAAGCTTCAAATTAGTACTGGACTGTCCTCGATATCTACAAACAGAACAGGCTGTCTCTCACGTAGATCCGTGGTCACTGGGACATCGAGCGAAACTGTAAGGCGGATGAACTTGTTACGCAAAGTACGAGGAAAGAACGCATTGGCATGCCTTTTAATACTTGCATATTGTTTCTCAAGGAATTTATATTTGTACAAGCCGCAACTGGGTGGAATGAAATTATAACCTGTTTGGGGCACAAATGGCCGAGAAGGATAAGAAGAGATCGCGAGATATGTAGTCCTTGAAAGGAGGTGTCATGTCCAAGGCAATAAGAATACTGATAGGTCACTGGATCAAGGCTTTGTGGTATCACAATCTGTCTTAGTCAGGCGTAAGCGTCATCCATTATTTTTGAATTAAATTAAATGCTTGATTTACCAGAGTTCGAATTATCCGGTTTATGCCAAATATGCACTATTTTGATCGATAACTATTTTGCCATGTTCAAGGCAATGTTATTAAGCCCCTCTCCCTTACCTCAATTGGCACAATTTTCTTCGATTTTTGATTTTTACACGCTTCTGTTGCGACCCTTTCTTCAATAGCCACTTGGACACGTAAAGTTTACATTTCCTTGGCGTGAGTTCCGGATTGCCATATGCTCGGGGAGCAGGTTTAAATTAAAAGCGTGTTCGTAGAGGAGCACCTCGTAGCGTACGATTTTTAGCCATTTCCACCAAATATAAGACAAAACCTTTTTCACCGTTACCATCCGCTTCAGAAATGGGTAGTTTTTGTAACAACTTGGCAGCGATTCGGATGGAAAATCGGTACGTGAGGTTTTTTTCTTGGCAACCTGTACAACGAGCTTCTTTGTGCATCCAGCCCCCACTAGCCTTCAAGTAATTGTTTTTTTTTTTTTTTTGTTTTGCAATAGTTAATAACTTCTCGGTAAACGAAACATTTCTCGCTAGACGGGCAGACTCAGATTTTATCGACCCTTTTAACCATTGGCCCTCTACACCAGGGAGCGAGGTCGAGGAAACTAAAAGTGTTCATGCATGACTGTTACAGTATTAGGACTCTAAACATTGTTAAAAAGATGATTCCGACTAGGTCGAGTTGATAGCCTTTTCTTTACCGAAAAAAATTCTAATGGCAGCGAACTCAGATTGCGCAGTAGTCGGTACGACCCTGTGAGTGAACTGACTGAGCTTAGAACATTAGTAATTTATAGGTTTTCTTCTAGTTTCTCTACTAAAAGATGCCAACAGAGCTTGGAAGTTGCAAAGCGAGATGTCATCTTAAACACATTGGTGTAGCGTGAGATGTGTCACCTCTTCCGCAAAACCTCTTCATCAGTCACATCAAGCGGGCATCCTCACGTTGGAGCAACTATTGAATTCCAGCCTTCGGAGAATATAGACTAAGCTTACTACAGTTGACTTTGCAAATCCTTCTACTGGAATTCTGTTCTGATTTTTTTTCATACCGTATTAGTTCCCCTTCGGCCGTTAATGTCTTACTGTATCTAGGATATTTATATCATTATAAGAATATGTTATTAATTATTGCTGTCTGGAGCCCATGGCTTGGCCGTTGAACTATTTAAACATGGTGGTGAAGAGCTGATAAGGGGATACGTCACTTTCTTTGCGGAATATGATTGGAAAAAATCCTCTGTCCAATCCATAAAAATGGGGTCTCTATGGTTTGCGCCTCCACAATATAACTAAAAAGACAAGGCACAATCTTTTACAAAGGTGAAGCGGAGCGAATGATACTAGTTGTGAACGAAGACAAGACAAAGTGTCTTCTGTCATCAAACAAACAGTCAGCGCCACCATTGATAGCCATAAATTCGAGATCGTAAATAATTTCGTCTATCTAGGGACGAGCATTAACTTCAAAAATAAAGTCAGCCTTGAAATCACAGGCAGAATCACCCTGTTAACAAGTACTCCTTTGGACGAAGGAGACAATTGATTTATGAAGTCCTTTCTCGATGAGCCAAAAACAAAATCAAGAAGTGGCTCATCATATCCGTCCTGTGATATGCTGAAGAAGCGTGGACGAAATCAATATCCGATGAGTCAGCCCTGCGAGTCTACGTCCGAAAAGTTTTTCGAACGTTTTATGGATTTTTACGCATTGGTGACGGCGAGTAGCGAAAACGATGGAACGATCAGCTGTACGTCCGAATTCGTCCGAATGAATGAAATCGCTCCCACTTTGAAAGCAGTCGATGCAGTACTCACCGGTGAAGTCAGAGCAAGATGAAAGCCTTCGCTCTGTAGGAAGCACCATGTGGGTAGCAATCTGGTTTCACTTGGTGTTTCAGACTAGCGCTAAATAGCAAAAAGAAGAGATGAATGACGCGTTATTATTGATTCGGCTATGATCGCGTAAGCGGTGCACACCCCAATAAAGAAGAAGAAGCAGACAACGCTTATCCTGTCACCACTAATACTTATAAACTTTAGGTTTTTTAATCAGAATTCATTGAATTTTTCACCAAAAAGTCTCAGCACGCAATACTCGATTAACTCGGAAAATATATTATTAATAATAAAATGCAATTATAAATTCTTGCTAAAAGATGATTTAGTCTTAAGCATTTTGTTTCCTCTCTTTCATTATGTCCGCAAACAATTTCCTGCACTTTTGCAGACCATAATTTCCCTTGCATGCATACATATTTACATATTTACATATGCTACGTATGTAAATACACTAAGGTGCAACTGTGTGTGCATGTGTGTGTGTGTGTGTGCATCTGCGGACGCATGGTCCTTCATTGCGGCTGTTGCGCTGAGTTATTGCGCTGCAGACAAGAAAAGCTGCATGCACTTCACCTTTTGCATTTCGCTGGTTGAAAGCGCACGGGGGCACGAGAGCAGCAGCAGCAGCAGTGAATAGCGGCCTGTTGACGAGCGACTACCATATACCTACATACAAACATACCTATATATTGTAATATTAAAACTTAAGCATTCATGTAATGTATATATTTGTATATGTGTATGTATGTATTTGTATACAAAGAGTATGCACGTAAGGAAAATATATAAGTATGTCTACTTGTCAGTATTAATAGTTTACTCCGCTCCTGACCGCATCCATGGGAAATAATCATAATAATAATAATAATGCCCTTGCCACTTGTATACACATACATACATACATACATACACCATAGCTAACGGCTGTTATTACTGGTTATACATATTCCATTGGGTCTCCTTTGGTCATCAAAAGTGTAAACAAGCTTCAGGCAACCGTTCAAGCATTGTAACGCACAAGCATACAAACATATTATATGTACTTATGTACATTGCATGTGCTATATGTATGTGTAAATATGTATGTATGTATTGCACATACTCTAGTCAATGTTTGCTTGTAAAAAATGTAATTTTTATGCTTGAGAGAGTTTTTATTTGAATTTTTATTTATGACCCACAAGACAACAAACAAAAACTCACCACTATTTATTTTAAAGCAACAAACACAAGGAAAAGTAAAAGAAAAGTATTCCCATTTATTATTTAGTTAATAATTTCGAGTTATAAAACTCAACGGGAAATAAAAAATTGAAATGTGTTAAGCGAAAACATAAACTTACTTACACATAAATTCTCTGGCACTAAACTCCTTCAGGCTACTGCTGAGGACATCAAAAACTTGACTTAAAATATATGAAAAAAATTAAATGTAAAATTTAAAAAAAAAAATCAAAAACTACTATATAAGCTATTCCTCAGCTGCCGAGCAGCTTGTTAGCTTGGGTATCATTTTTTTGCCCTTTATATTTCGCTATCTGGTAACCCTAGTGTTGCAGTCTGTCAACTGACAGCTTTATTGTAAAGTTTGACATTTTTGATGTTATTCATACTTAGAATGATTTGACATACGAACACAATTTTTGTTTTTTGATAAACAAAAACATTTGTCTTAAATCTCGCCCAAAAGTGGAATTGAAATGCGAACTTTTTTTCGCGGTTAATTTTTACAACTTTCCAAGTGACTTGACTCAGCAGCAGTGCATCGATGAATTTAACTCAAATTTCGACGATAAAACTCCACCCTGAAGCAATGTTTATCGTTGGTATGGTGAATTTAATCGAGGCCGTAGATCACTACAAAGCGTATTTCGTTAAGGTCGATCAAAATCAGTTCTTTTGCCGAAAACTATTGTAAGATCTTCATGTGACATGGGACAACTACTGTGGGCATTAGTGGGCGCAGATACATTCCATTCCATTTAATTTTGCATGAACATTTGACTGTAAAAAAAATTTTCATATTGGATCTCACACAATATGGAAATCAGTCAAAAAAAAGGCTCATGTCATTGGTAGAAGGAAATGTCCTAAACCCCATTAGTGGTGCTGCCAAACAACTCTCGTGATGGCTGATGAACCGTGGAAACTGCAGTCGACTGTATTTGTGTTTGAAGATCAGTCAAATCCAACAAGTGTTCTTCGGGCACGAAGCATCTCCAAGCCAATGGTTGTAAGTTTTGTGATGTTTTTTGAAAAAAACTGGTCATCTCACAAATGATTTACAGCCACTTCTTCACCGGTTGTCTTTAAAAAAATCGAGAAAACCAACAGCCGTAGACGGAACGCACTGATACAACTGCATTTCTGAGCACCGGAAATATCGATTTGTTGAGTCATCCACGGCTTAGTGATGACTTGACACCGAGTGACTCCTTTTTATCGCCAAGCGTAAAAACTGCACTGTAAGTTCTAAGTTTTTGCACACCAGCTGATGCAGTTGATTCGCTTAAAATGATGTTTTAGAGATACCTCAATCAGTGTGGCTGCGACAATTGATACAAATGCTTGATGTCAATGGTGAATATTTGTAAAAACCATAAAACGATATATGATGTATAATACTTGTTTTTGTTCCCTAATTCCGAAATATAAATGGCAAACCTCATCGGAGGTCAATGTCGTCTTGGTCAGAGCTAAATTTAAATTTTATTTTATATTGAGTGGACATCTCAGTAGTCTTCTGACTACATACACAAGGTGTGACAATTAAGCAATTGGAATGATTCCATAAAAACCGTATATTTTAAAATGATTCTAAAGCTCTACCATCCCCTTCAAGTGGTCGCATTGGGCAGCTATACAACGATTCTAGCGAGCCTCGATTGCGGGCATCTCAGTACTCTCGTCAAGGATGTTCCTTTGACCACCGATTTTCTTCTAGGGAACAAAAGAAATTATAGGGTTTGTCACAGGCGGTTGTTGCAACACACGACAGCCCTTTAGAGGCCAAATACTAGCACACGCTGAAGGCGTTGTGGCACAGCGCGTTGTCGTGATGAATGATCCAATTACGAATGATGTCTGGCCGCATCCTATTGACTCGTTTTCGCAATATTTCGAGTACTTGGCGATAGTCGACTTGATTTACGGTTTGTTCCCGTGGAAGAAATCTTTGTGGACGATTCCACGGTTATTGAAAAAGGCAGTAAACATCGTTTGCACCTTTGACTTGCTCATCCGAGCTTTTTTCGGGCGGGGGGCAAGCGTAGACAACCATTGTGAACTTTGGTGTTTGGTTTCCATGTCGCATTGAAAAAATCTCAATTTTTCTAGAATTTTATCGTGCGTTTCCGAAACTGTTTCGCCAATTTGTCGCAAATTTTTATCGGACTTTCGGTTGGTCTTGATTTCGTTTTTTCCACGAGCACGTTTCGATCACCACGAGCACAAGTTTACTTAACACGACACAGCAGGCAAACTAAACAAGCTGGAGCCATGGCAAATATATCAATGGAGAGGAGAATGTTTCCGAAAGAAGGGAAAGTGTATTTCAAGGTCGCATGATTACCACAATCGCGGCAATATAATCAGTCTCATTACTTTATTGTCACACATCGTATTCTCTGCTGAGGTGCGAACGCGATTTTGCTTGTTGTCCTGGACAGAATTGAAACTTATGAAACTCTTTTAGATAGCTCACACTCAGTTGGATTTTAGAAAAATTTATACATTCTGCGGCGCAATTCAAAACTACTTTTAATATCTCCTTTTAGTCGGTAGTATAATTTACAACCATTTTATTTAATGATTCCTTGTTAATTATTTACCTATTAAATGTACATATATATAAATATATATATATTTACATTCGAAGCGCTTTGATGCGCGAAATACTACATATTTAGTTATAATAAATATTATATACATATATGTATATGTTTACACGCGCAGTCATTACTCCATGCTCTTATGATCGCTCAAAATTCACAAATAATAATAACTGTAAATCTGAAATCTGACATTTGTATTACAATATGATTACAATATTTGCATACATACCTATTATAAATATTATCAAGCTCCGTGTATATTCAAATACAAACAATGGGGGAATTTTGCATTTCAAAGAGTTGGCAAATATAACAAATACAATACAATAATAAATAAATACATAGATATATACGTATATTTCATATATAAAGTCATTTGTTCGTGCACTGGCATTATTATTATATTATAAATATTTTTATTTTATTATTATTCTCATAAACCTCACTGAGTTTTCATGGTCTGCTGCCTTAAACTGATTGTTATTTGTATTTCCAACGCTCATAAATGTATTATTTAGTCAAATATCGTATTTCGCATTTCGTATTTACCTACATACATACATATCACGTAGGTACTGTAGTGAGATGAAAATTTGCCTTTCAAAACATAAAGTGTTAATAAATATAATTAATATTAAATAAATTTAATGAGGAATTATTTCGATTTTAGCACAAACGGGAGGGCTTGGAGGTTGTAAATATCGTACATTCAAAAATATATATGCATATATAGATTTTCTTAAGAAAAAATTGGACTTGTGGCAATTTCTTTTGTACAAAATATGAAAACTTTTGTAAAATTTGTTGAATATTATTTTTTTTTAAAGTTTAAGATGGAACGAAATAAACAAACCTTCGTCCAACTTCTCGTGAATTATTACTCAAAAAACTGTGCAAAGTTTCAGCGAGAGCCGCTTTGTAGTTGGGGAGAACTTTTGACAACCTACTTTAAAGATAGAACTACAAGAAAAACCCGTTGAAACTTTACAGCGCTAGGTCGACCTGCCTTTGGGCTCGTAAGGCTGTATCTCCTAAGATTTTATTCAGATCGGCTGTCGGATAGTATTCTCAAGATGCTGTAGAAATTAAGAAGCCAAAAAAATTCGATTCTTTGAGGGTGCGAAACCCTAGTATTCCCTAGAGGTACAAGTGTAGAACCTGACACGCCTCTCAAAATGTGAAATCTCCTTTCGATCTCTGTTTATAAATAGCTAAGCAATGTCTGCCAATTCTGACTGCCCTACAGTGCTAACGTAGATAATAATATTGCGGTTTAGGGTCCTTACTGAAATAAAAAGCGTGGAGAGCCATGATAATATGATGTTATTTTAAGGACTTTTTCGCAGCTACAGGGACGCAGAAACCAATGTACATCCCTAATCACCACACAACATCAATTCATTTGAATACTTCGCTGAGTTAGCCTCAACTCACTTAAAAAATCATGAGACATTTGTGAGACGCACTAAGTGGAGACGGCATTTGAGTAGGTGACAGGAAGCTTGCACTGGTATCAAAGGAGACCATTGGCATATTTAATTGCGCAAGTCGGAAAACCAAATTCAAAAAAAAATGGAAAAAGAAAACAATTTTTAAATTTGTACACAAAAAACTGTTCGTTCTGTCAAGTTCTCTCTTTCATTGTCTGTTTGAATAATCGCTTATACATACTCTGGTAAATTAGGTTGAGTCAGCTGACACTTTACTTTACAATGCCTCTCGTGTCATTGTACCATAAGTTACGTATACGCCTTGTCGCACAACACCACAAATCGCGGTAAAATTAAAATTTTTCTACTTTCGGTTCGCGCTGACAAGCAGCTGCACATAACCCGCAAATCATAGTTCAGCGGTGCTACATTGCGCGATCTTGGAGGCCACTGCAAAATTATGGCCTGATTTATTCTTGACGCAATAAGAGCCAATGATTTCCTTTGCCCATAGAACACACCAGTTGCTTATTGAGGATTTTACTGCGTCTGAAAAATGCTTGTGGCTTATCATCTCTCCTGGTCATGTGGTTTTAGGTCCACTGTGAAATATATATCTTTTTATGAGAAGTTTTGATTCGTAAAACGAGTTATTGTGGGATAAGATTTATTTGACAGAAAACCCAACGCATATATGTACAAGCGCATATCTTTTAGGTTTTTAGAAAAGTATGGACACGTTAAAAATACAAATTTTTATAATTCTAAGGTTTTTTTTTTGCCAAGAAATATTTTTTTTTGAAAATATACAACAGTTGCTCTTACTCTTATTTACATTAATCATGAATGATCTTTTATTTGCCATGAAAATCCTTGCCATTTAAAGGCCAATTACACCGACAACAGGTTAACCCCTTGGCACAGCTGCCACAGCAATGAAAAATTAAATCAATTAATTCCACAGCAATTGTAGCAGATTTCACGCCACATTATGCCTAAATGTATGCAACAGTTTTTGAAAGTAAATGAGCCTGAAAATGGCGAAGCACATGAGCGCGTTAGCAATGATTTCTTTTTTTTTGTTTTTATATTTTTTTTTTAAACTGAAATGTATATAAATGAGTTGAAAATGTAGCTGTGTTGTGTATATATATATATACATATATGAGTAGCTGTGCGGGTATACGCTTGCGGTGGTGAATATTTATGCCAATTTATTTCATGAAACACAAAAAAAAGGCAAATCGACGAAAAAACAAATAAAAAAAAAATAAAAAATTACTGAAATTAATCAAAAAAGAAGACGAAGAAGAAATTCAGCCTTGACAATAAAATTCAAAAATTACGCCTGATGAATGTGTTCGATGACAAGCGCTGTCAGGATGTGCGAGAGATAGGACTGCTAAATATATATATATATATGTGTGTATGTACATATACGTATAACTCACATTTTTCATACACAAACGCTCTTGTATTGACCATATGTGGGTAACATTTAAAAAAAAAATAATACATATTTACACTCATAATAAAAACTTCACATCAATCGTTTGCGTTGCGCATAATAAATTTTTATACACTCATACATGCAAGCATGCTGACATACAGACACAGTAACGAGTTATGTCAGATTCACATGATGACAATATAATAAATCGATTTGAATTGCTAACGAATGCATATATGTACATATATATATACAAATATCTACTACCTTGTGGGCGAAAATGAAGTATGTATGTGTGCGTATATTTGTATGTAGCCGTAAGAATGCCGTTAGCATCGTACACACAGCTGCGGGCTCTCAACAACGCGTTGAAAAGGTTAACAAGACCCGCAGACAGATGATAAATGAAATGAGTACACGCATGTGTCTGCGTTGAATGCAGCGTATTTTCCCAATTTTTTTGCTTTTGTGATATATTTTATACCCAGACAGATGTGAATATAAATATGCGGATATTTTAATAAATATAAATACTTTTAAATATAAATACTTTATGATTTATAGCTATTTTTCGAAGAGATTGACACAATGTTGTTGTATTGCTTTCTCATTTGAGCCTTCAACCGGAACGAAATAACTCATCTTCGAGACTCTTTTAGGATCAATTTGTGAAAAAGTTCGCCGAAGCGGTTCGTTGTTAGGCAAAGGCACTCGCCTATGTGCTCATAAGCTGCCTGCAGTAGATAGAGCTGACGCTTTGGCTAAAGGTGCGCTAGAAATGCCATAAATATTCACTCGAACTCATGCGCAGGACCTTAAAATTTTCCCACTTTTTGTATAGGATTTTGTATAAAGAACTCGGTATGAAGGCTTGTAAAGTTCAATTAGTCCAAGAGCTAAAATTCCAAGACCATCCGCTTCGAGACGAGTTCTTTTACCCAAAAATAATGTTTTTTATTTGGGGCACTACGTCAGCAAGTAGC